TGTGATGATGCTTAGGGAAGGAATGTAAATTGAGTTACAAAAAAAAAAGTTTCAGGAAAAAATTATATATCTATTCAATGACTACAGTAGGATATGTAGCCCCAGCTAGGTGCTACTTTATAGGATGCGTAAAGTCAGACTTGTGTTCATGGAAATGTGTCACCTGTGTTTGCTATGAGGGTATTTGGATTGATTACGGTCTTTGGTGATTTGATAAAATGGGGGGGGGGAAACAAAATAGAAAGCAAACATAGGTATCAGAGACAGTGTGGGAAGAGAGTGGGAGATGGCAGAGGGTGATAGGGAATCAAGGATGGGGGAAAAAAGCAAAACATACAGAAAACAAGAAATGGAAGATCATTTGCTGACAATAACATGTTTGTTGATGTGCTTGATTGAAATAATATACAGTGTACTCTGGATGGAAAATCTCATTTTGTATGGTGTAATGATGTACAGTGAATGAATGCAAATAAATAAATTGAAATAAAAAAATAATGATGTATCCAAATTTTAATAATATTATACAAACCAGAAGTTGAGAGATGTTGCAGAACTTTAAGTACCCAAAGTTTCTCAACAAGTTGATATTCAAGCAAAGTCATTGATTGGACCATTGTTTTTGCCAGTCCTCCAACTTCAGCCATTTGAATCTTGAATGATGAACTAACTTGCTGATAACCTAATAGCAATTAGTTAATAAACATTTCACAAAATAATCATTAAGTTGAAGGAATGAGTAATTTATTACTAAATAGCAACAACACAACAAGAAGTTTAAAAATATGTATGGCATTTAAAAACTGCAAACTTTTTTGTAAGGGGTTGGAAAATAGTACTTTAAGCTTTGAGGGTTGTAAGGTTTCTTCTCAACTACTCAATTCTGTAGCACCTTGTAGTATGTTGTAGCAAGAAAGCAGCCATAAGCAATACAAAAATAAAGAGGCATAGCTGGGTTTCAATAAAACTTCATTTGCAGTGGACTGATTTTGGCCTGAGGTCCAAAGTTTGCTGACCCCGGTGTAGCATTTGTGCCAAAAATTTTGGAGGCACATCTTAAATTCTAAAAAAGAACAAAACAGACAGTCCCTGACATGACAATTCAATTTACAATTTATCAGCTTTATGATAGTGCAAAAGTGATATAGTCAGTAAAAGCAGTACTTTGAACTTTGAGATATTCAACACTTAATTATAAAATGGGCTTTTGTTAGGTTATTTTACCCAACTGTAGGTTAAATGTAAATGTTCTGAGGATGTTTAAGGTAGGCTATGCTAAACTAAGGTGTTTAGTAGGTTAGGTGTATTAAATTCATTTGATCAATGAGAATTCCAACTTATGATGAGTTTATCACAACAGAACATCAACACAAGTCAAGATACAATTTTCCACAAAAGAAAATGGTATGATTATAAATAGTGAATGTTTTCACTGTTTGAGTCAATGTGTTACTTCAGTGCTCTCAAGGGACAATTATGTGGTGTTAGCAATAAAATGACAAAAATAATGGTGCTCTTATAAATATTGTGATTATATGGAAATTTTAGGGAAATTTGATTCTTGGTTACATGGAATAGAATTTCCTTCTCCTTGAGTTCTTGTAAGAAACACTTTCTTTTTGATGCAGTTGCACAAAAGCCTTCCTAACTACATTCAATGAGAAGAATTAAACACCAGAGGGTACCTACTGAGATGAGGTTATTTTCTCTCTTAGTTACCTCACTTATCTAACTCCTTGACTTTTTTTTTTTTTTTTGGAGAGGTTTTTGCTATAGGGCGCGTGCGCTCGCCAGACAGACAGAGAGAGACAGAGAGACAGCAAGCAGGAAATCACCCCCCAGGGGGGGGTGGCCACGCCACAATCCCTTCTCCTCCATTCTCCTCTTGGGATCTTGGGCACGCACGCACACGTGCCTGGCATGAGTCTAAGCCACCGAGTCTGGGACTCGAACCGTGGTCAACTACATGGGAGTCCAGCGACAAAGCCATTATGCTAACTGCTGGTCCCTAACTCCTTGACTTTTTTTTTTTTTTTGGAGAGGTTTTTGCTATAGGGCGCGTGCGCTCGCCAGACAGACAGAGAGAGACAGAGAGACAGCAAGCAGGAAATCACCCCCCAGGGGGGGGTGGCCACGCCACAATCCCTTCTCCTCCATTCTCCTCTTGGGATCTTGGGCACGCACGCACACGTGCCTGGCATGAGTCTAAGCCACCGAGTCTGGGACTCGAACCGTGGTCAACTACATGGGAGTCCAGCGACAAAGCCATTATGCTAACTGCTGGTCCCTAACTCCTTGACTTCTTGACTTCAGACTAACTTTATTCCTTAACTTTGGTATAAGTTCTAAGATGTCTGTTTGTTTTATCTTCTTGAATTTGCTCTTTGGCAGTAGACAATGCCCTGTCCACTTAAGGGAGGAGCTCTCTATGGTATGGTCTTGCTACTCACTGTGTGCATTTTAAATGGCATTTAAAATGTACAAAGAGGAAAACACAAATCACCTATAATTTCATAATATTAACATTTTGATATATTTCTTGTTGCTATTTTTATACATTAAAAATACATTGCATCGGGACCAGCAGTTAGCATAATGGCTATGTCGCTGGACTCCCATGTAGTTGACCGCGGTTCAAGTCCCGGACCCGGTGGCTTAAACTCATGCCGGGCGTGTGTGTGTGCGTGCCCGAGATCCCGAGAGGAGAATGGAGAAGAAGAGATTGTGGTGTGGCCATCCCCCCCTGGGGGGAGATTTCTCGCTTTCTGTCTCTCTCTCTCTTTCTGGTGAGCGCACACGCCCTATAGCAAAAATCACCCCCCCAAAATTGCATATAATTTCAACAACATATTGTATAAATGATTTATGTATGTGTGTGTGTGTGTGTGTGTGTGTGTGTGTGTGGGCTTCAAGCCACCGGGTCTGGGATGCGAACCGTAGTTGACTACATGGGAGTCCAGCGACATAGCCATTGCGCTAACTGCTGGTCCCCCTAAATTATTTATATTTTATTAAAATTCTGATTGTAAGCTTTTCCCCATGCTGTAAAATATTTCCTGGAATCGTGATTTTTATTTGCATAATAATCTATCATATGGATACACCAAAGTGTATTTTGTGGAAATTAATTCACAAAACTCATCACTTTTGCACTTGTGCACTATTAGTTAACTCACTAATTAAGGTTATTTCCTTAATTACATCTTCTCATGCCTTGAGAAATTTGCCTTCTATTTCCTATTTTCTAGCTTCCAGCTCCTCATCCTACAAACTTCATTTCTTTCCTATCCTAAAACAAACAAACCTAAATAACCTTTCTTTAACTGCACTATCAACTGAGCTGTTTTCCATTTTTCTTCTACTTCACCATCTGATCTTAGAACACGAGTCTCCTTTTGCAAACTGCCTCTATTTCTTCACTGTCTAACCCACTGCCACTCGTCTCACACCTTCTCATTCTTTATTCCTGCATCTGCCCTGACCACTTTATACCAATGAGATTCTGTCAAAGATGAACTACGTCTTTTCAGATATCACATAAACTTGGCTTTTTCATTCCTCAATTAGAGAAATTCTGCAGCACTTAACACTGAAGTGACTTCCTTCTTCTTCAAATATTTTATTCCCTGGCACATAAGACCTAGTAGTCTTTAGTCCCCCTCCCCCTTGTCTTTGAACCTCCCTTTGCTGCCAATGTCTTTGAGTCATTTTTTCCAAACCTCAGTATGAGTACTCTTACATAACGGCATTCTTGATCCCTTGGTGTTTACATGCTTTACCTCTTGGCAAACTCCAATTCTCATCTCTATTTGGGTGAATTTCAGATTTTATTTCTGGTACCTGTTGCTTTTAGGATGCAATGTCTACTACCTACCAACCACTTCCACCTCTATCTCATAGCTTATATTTGACATCTGAAGTCTCCTTACTCATTTCTTTACTTCAGATGTCTATTTTTCCCTAGTCATTATAACCTTCCTTTTGAACTGCTACTAACTCTTATTCCCATACATATTAAGGAACACAGAACTTGAGAAGTATGTTTATATCTTCTATATCTTCTCTCCCTCCATAGATTGGTTATAAATTACAGAAACTATGGAAGTAAAATGTTGGTCTTAAATAACATTATACCTTCAGAGTGTAAATGCCCATGTCTTAATACCATATATTTCAGTGTGGTTCACTTTATCATTGCATATTGAGATACCTTAGCTGTAAGATGTAGAATTCTTTTACCAAATGTGATGGACAATGGTATTACCATTAGAACTTTAACAATAAATTTGGTGGGATATTGCTATGGTTTGGATCACTGTTTTGTTCCCTAAACTCTCATATTTGGAAATCTGGTTTTAATGGGCAGTGATTGGATGTCCCCTAGAAATACATTTGTTGGGTCTTGATTATATTGTAAAGGAATTAAGTGAAAGCTTAATTCCTTCATGGGGTCCCAGAGTGAGACCTTCGTGTGTGATGTTATTAGGGTGGGGCCTCTATGACCGAGTTACGGCATATATACATGCAGAAGAAATGAGACCAGAACAGAGAGAAAGCCAGATGGGTAGAGGCAACACTGTTAAAAGTTTTGCCTTTTGCCATTTTGTGATGCCCCTGGACTTGCCAGCCACCAGAATTCTGAGTTATTAAATGTTCTTTCTTGTAATTCAGCAAATGAATAGAAATATTTGGTATTTCTGTTGGTAATGCAATAATGGACTAACACAGACATGATGAATAGTCATAAAATATGTTAGAAAAGTTTATCAACAGTAAAAGTAACATAAACTAATACTAATAATTATAATTAAACTAATTTGGTTGAACTTTTATAAGTTGTCTTAAATATTTGCATGAAAATAAAAATACCATACAAATCCCAAACTAAAAAAAATACAATTTTTCAAAGATGACTTAAGGCCTCAAGACTACAAAAATGAGTTTTGTTTTTTAAATTAATGTGTTGTATTTCTGAGCCCACTAGATCTTTCTAACATCAGAGGGAAATAAGACAGAACAGTCTCTTTTCTATAGATACATGTTATTACAAAAAGACCACTGAAAACTTTACCTGGAATATGCTTCTTAGGAGGTTCTGCATGATAAAAGTCAACAATACACTTACAGATTTGTATCCTCAATTCAGAACTTGGAATTTTCATTAAGTCACCTGCAAGAAAGATGAGTTAGTGCTATTTAATAACATTGCTATAAGTAGACAGAAGAAAGCAGCAGAAAGGAAAGCCTTTCCCTTGTGTTAGGAGAATCTATTTGTAAAAGTCACCACATAACTGTTTCAAGATTATTTTATTTTTTGGAGTTGAAAAATCACTAAGTTTGAAAATCTTAGGCAATAGGAACTAAACTTTCCCAACAAAACTATTCCAATATGTGAGTTTATAGGACATTCTAAAGTTTCTCATTTGCTTCTCCACCCTTTTAGTTCTTGTAAGTTTAGATAATTTCTCGCAGCTTCCTCTTACATAACCTAGAGGCTGAATATCAATTTCTTCCCCCATACCTTTCTAGAATCTGACTTCTGAGTCAGAAACAATGATGCATTATTTAAAAGAAAACATAACTTAACTTACTAGTACATAGTAGTAACTGGAAATTATTAGGAAAAATCATAAATAGCCTTTCTTTAACACTTTAGACTATATACAAATAGGAGTTTGAGTTTAAACTCCTGTTTTCAACAATTAAGAAAACATTAAGGGACCAAATAGTACTTGTAGTCACTAATCAGTGGACAGAGTTTGTTTTAAGCTAAGAGTTCATATTGACCTAAAGTGAGACATGAATGTAGGCAGGTGGTCATTAAGCAAATAGCAGGCTGACTTACACGCAGTAAGAAACAGAGCATATATTTACCATATAAATGTCTGTAAATACTCTTAGAAGCAACATTTTTAAAATAATTATTTTATTCGACTTTATTCATTCTTATTTTTTGACTAAAAAAAGATAGAGAGAGGAAAAGTGAGAGAGCAAGCAGCCAGGTCCAGGACTCAAACCACAGTTGGCCATGTGGGAGTCCAATACCCTTAACTACCATGCCACCTGCCAGCCCCAGAAGCAACATTTTAAAATAATAAGATCAACAAAGACTTTTAAAAAATAATGCTACCGGGACCAGCAGATAGCACAATTGTTATGTCGCTGGACTCCCACATGGCTGACTGAGGTTCAAGTCTCTGACTCGGAGGCTTGAAACTCATGCTGGGCACGTGTGCATGTGTGCCTAAGATTCTGGGAAGAGAATGAGGAGAAGGGATTGTGATGTGGCCGCTGGAGAGGTGATTTCTCACTTTCCCTCTCACTGCCTCTCTCTCTGGCAAGTGCATCCGCCCTAAGGCAAAAACCTCTACCAAAAATAAACAAATAAATAAAACATAAATGCTTTTTAGTCATCCCAGTTTTCTATATTGAATATAATGCTGGGAACATAACTTTTCAGTAAAAACTTTAAAAATGTATTAGATCAGCTTTTATGAGTCATTCTTCTCTGTCCACTCAGGCCCAATCCTCTCTCTCAGGAGTGTACTTTCACTTCTACTTAATAAACCACCTTTTGGGAACCAGCAGTTAGCGTAATGGCTATGTCGCTGGACTCCCACGTAGTCTACCGCGGTTCGCATCCCAGACCCGGTGGCTTCAAAATCACATCGGGCATGTGTGCATTCATGCCCAAGATCCCGAGAGGAGAATGGAGGAGAAGGGAATGTGGCATGACCATTCCCCCTGGGGGGTGATTTCTCCCTTTCTGTCTCTATGTCTCTCTCTGTCTGTCTGGCGAGCACATGCATCCTATAGCGAAAAACCTCTCCGAAAAAAATCCCCAAAAAACACCAAAAATCCCACCTTTTCCTTTCACTCATTATTGACATGCTTCATTCAGTTCTTGGTCTGAAACACCAAGAACCTGGATATTATCACAGAAGCCATCCCACAACATATACTGTGGCGAGCTAAGTCAGGAGTCTGCCTCTTTAGTTTACTCCAGTATCATAGCAAGGACTCATCTGTCCCTATTGGGAAACTCGAAGAGACTGAAGCATGGGAAATAACCACTCAATTCCCAGGGGGTTCAGCCCTTGGCTGACATTGAATAATCAGGATTCGAGGAGGGAAAAAGAGAACAGAACATAGGAAAATGACAAGTCAGGTTTATGGCTGTCCCAACTGGAAAAGCCCTGGATACCCACAGACTTCCAAGAGTTTACCCAAAAATCAGAAAGAAAACCTGCAGATTCCTTCTTCAAGTGCAAGGGACTGGACACTGAGTAGGAGACTGAAATTGCAAATGACTACACAACAGGGATACAAAACCCTTGAGACCTCTGCTGAATCCGACTGTGAGTCATCCAATATCAATGACAGACCACTCCATGACATATCTCAGGACTATCTTGATGACCTGCCCCTGGCCTAGCTTTCCCACCTAGATCAGATAGGGTGAGAGTTCCATAATTCCTCATAGGTAGGGCCAATGCCCCTTTTCAGCATGAAACAGTAACAGGAGACAGATCACCCACGTTCAACACCTCAGTAAGATTCATGAGGCTCATGCCTCCCAGGAGCGAAACGATGCAGCAGAAAGCTAGGAAATAGAAGTGGGTAAGGGGGCTGTAGTGTCTGCTTATGTGGCTAGACAGAAAAACCTGATGAGGGCAGAACGTTCCTGCCCAAGGTAATGTAGCCAGGAAATTTGCAGTGGAGGATGACTAGCTGATGAAGCCATATTTGGTAGAGCCAATGAGATAACAATCACTAGGCCTAGCCAATGATCAACAAACATGATCCAGATTAAAAAATGATAAACCTTGCAGAATATAAATGCCAGGGCGTCTTTGAGCCACTCTTTTTCTGTCTGCTCAAGCCTGCTCCTAGTATTGGGTCAATCATATATCTTTTATTTCATCTTTATAAATGAAGGCTTCAATAAATATAAATGTAATGTAGAATTAGTTCTGAGAGCATGCTGCCATGTTTCAAGGTCTGACTCATAGGGCTAGTGTTTCACTGATCTCATTTCCTAGGAAATTATTATTTTCTTTCTCTAGAAAAATCAAGTAATAACCCAGATACAAATGCTTACTCTTCTATGATATTTTTTCATATTTTTGTGTATAAAATATATGCACCTGCATTTTTATGTGTATTATGCTAAAGTTCTTAAAGTTCTATTATTTTATTATTTCATTTAAAATTTTAGATCATTTAATAAACAAACAGTTGCTCAGTGATTCTAGCAATTAAGTATCAGAGTTTATGGCCCAACCTAGTGGAATAGTTGATAGCATGTCAAACTGCAGTTCTGGAACCCCCATGGTTTACTGGGGTTTAGATTGCTGGGTTGGCTTGAAAACATGCCAGGCACAAGCATCCATGCCCAAGATACTAAAGAGCTGTAGGGCAAAATGATTTCCTATTGAGGCTGTGCCTCTTTCTTTCACTCCCATACACTCTCTCTCCCTGCTTCTCTCACATCCCCCTTTCACTAGTGTATGTGCAAATGTTGTCTATCACGAATAAAACAAACTTTAAAAAAATGTCTAGAGGGTCAGCTGGTTGCGTGGTGCAGAAGGTGGCTGACTCCCACATGACCAACTGAGCAATTCAAGTCTCAGACCCAGCAGCCTGAAAAACATGCCAGACATGCGTGTGCCCATGCCCAAAACCTCCAGAGGAGAATGAGAGAGAAAGGACTGTAGCTATCCCCCCCAGGGGGTGCTTTCTCACTTTCTCTCACTATGTTTCTCTGGCAAGCACATGTGCCCTATACCAAATTAAGAAGAAGAAGAAAAGAAAAAGAAAGTATAAGAAGGGCAATGAAATGAAAAATACTTGGATCCTTGAGTTTGTGATGATACTTCAAAACAGAACGAAACAAAAAATGTATTAGAGTTCAAAGTTGAAAATATTTTTGTGATTAATGAAAAAGGATTGCATACGCTTCTGATATAGAAAAATAATTAACAGACATTTTATCCAACTAAATTACTTCATGTCAAATAAGCATAAAGAAGCATCTGCAAGTCTTTACACTGAATGAATGTAGAATCGTGTTGGTATTATGAAATAGCTAAGCAGAAAAAGTACTGGAATTATCATCAAACTCACTATGATTAATTCACAAATAGAAATAAGAGCATAAATATGTAGGAAGAATATTCTTAGTGAAGCTTAGTGAAAACAGACATTTCCTTCTTCTTTTTTTTTTTTTTGGAGAGGTTTTTGCTATAGGGCACATGCGCTCGCCAGACAGACAGAGAGCGACATAGAGACAGAAAGTGAGAAATCACCCCCCAGAGGGGATGGGCACGCCACAATCCCTTCTCCTCCATTCTCCTCTCGGGATCTTGGGCACGCACGCACACGCGCCTGGCGTGACTTTTAAGCCACCGGGTCCGGGACGCGAACCGCGGTCGACTACGTGGGAGTCCAGCGACAGCCATTACGCTAACTGCTGGTTCCCAACATTTCCTTCTTGTCAGTAGGGCCCATCATATGTTATACCTCTCTCAAGAAAATCTTAACTTACCTAGAAGCGCAATTGAATTAGCAGTGTCTTCAGCATAAGTTATCTCATCCGATGCTTTCTTTTTCAAAAATGGCAAGCTTTAATAAGAATGAAGAATGTAAGAATAATTTTTAATGAAGTCCTTGATTGAAGCATTATTTGTAAAGTGGGAAAAGTTTCCTTTTAAAACAATAAAATGAGGACAATATCCTATTCTTTAGCCCTGGAGAATTGATAACTATCAAAAAAAAAAAAAAGTTTCTAACTAACTGACCAGAGCCAAAATAAAATAGGCTTATGAAAATGAAGAGAGATGGATGTAAAGGGCATTGATTAAGAAAGCCAATTTGCATCACTGAATGAGTTAAGAACTTAGGAATGCACCTTCACTTTGAGGGCAAAATAATAATGATTTAAAGATATAATTCTGTCAACGTTAGAAAGATATTAGATAACCCCATACAAATGACAGCTCTAGGCTCACCTATAATTTAAAACTGTTCAAGAAATTTTCTTTTTTTAGAGATTTTTACAATAGGGAGCTTACATTTGCCTTAGAGACAGAGACAAAAAGTGAGAAATCACCCCTTAGTGGGGATGGCAGCCCTGCAATCCCTTCTCCTCCATTCTCCTTCTGGGACCTTGGCCATAGGCACACACACACACACACACCCAGCATGAATTTTACGCTGCCGGATCCTGAACTTGAACTGCGATTGGCCATGTGGGAGTCCAACACTTTAACCACTACACCACCTGCTGGCCCCAAGGAATTTTTCTGAAGTTTTCTAAACTCTAGTTAATAGATCAATGGCAATGTCCTTTTCCAGTTAACAACCAAAATAATTCTTATCCATAAAAATGACAGAATGCTTTTGGGGATATCAAGAAATTCAAGTTACCAAGTAATAATTGTATTAGTATTACATTTCACAGTTATTATAAGCAGAGTAACTATATTACAAATCATAAAAAAAAGGGACATAAACCTGGATCATTAGTCTAAATTTCAAAGGAGAGATAACAGTTATTTCTTAAATACAAACTAGAAACTATTTTGTCATTACATGAATTTAAAATCTGAACCTCCTGTGCTATTGAAAGTACTTTGTATCCTAAATATAGGACCTTTTAATTCACTTTAAGAAAAATTAAACAAGTAGTTAAAAAATGGCTGAGAACTATCACAGTAGATACAGAATATATAGACCAATTTGAATTTGAAAAATTTCAAGGGCAAACTATGATAACGACAATTTTATAAATATTACAAAGTTCTTTTCTAGTGTTTGCTAGAATTTGTCATTTGAAACAAGTAACTTATTACTTGTTATCCAGCTGATTATTGAATCTCTAAAGTAAAGAACTCTAACTAGTATCTTATCCTCAAAGTTTTTCCTTGATTTTTAACTAAAGGAGACAAAAGAAGAGGTTTTAATTTAAAAGGTTATGAAAAAATAAGGCCCAAACATAAAGGTTGATTTTACTTTTCTTCTTTTCAATACTGTTATCTCCTAAAAAATGTTTTAAAAAGAGAATCAAGTGAGGGTGAGATATGGAGAAATGCAAGACCTAAGAAGAAACTGGAAAAGTAGACAAAAAATAATAGTTGGAATAATTATGAAATGTGAGGGAAAGTATACAGTACAATTTAAAGAGTTGTCATATTTGAATGGATAATGAAAATGTGGTATAAACAATGAAATACAATTGTCATTAAAAAGAAAAAATTCTGTCATTTGAGACAACATGGAGGAGCCTAGAAAATGCGATGTTAAGTGAAATAACCCAGGCACAGAATGTAAAAGACAAACAAACAACCAAACAAAAAACACATGTTCCTATTCATGTGGAAGCTATAAACCTTGACTTCATAGAAGTAGAGAGCAGAATAGTGGTTAAGAGGTTGGGAAGGGGGGGAACCAGCAGTTAGCGTAATGGCTATGTCGTTGGACTCCCATGTAGTCGACCGCGGTTTGAGTCCCGGACTCGGAGAGGAGAAGAAAGAAATGCTGGTTAATATATATAAAATTATAGTTAAATAAGAGGAGCTCTGGTGTTCTGTAATATAGCAGGGCAATTAATTTATTATACACCTCTTTTTTTTTTTTTAAGAAAGATTTTTTTTTAATTTTTTTAAATTTTAGATTTTTTTTTTTTTGCCATAGGGTATATTTGCTCACCAGAGGGACAGAGGGAGAAAGTGAGAAGTCACTCCCCACTCACCTTCTAGGGAGGATGGCCATGCTCCAATCCTTTCTCTTCCGTTCTCTTCTGGATTTTGAGCACACATGCACAAGTGCCGGGCATGAGTTTCAAGCCACCAGGTCCAGGACTCAATTAGCAGCTGGCCATGTAGGAGTCTAGCACCTTAACCACCATACCACCTGCTGGCCCTACACATTTCAAAGTAGCTAAAAGAGGAGGCTGGGGACTGCTGGTGGTATGGTGATTATAGCAGCTGGATCCCACATAGCCAACTACATGGTTCGAGTACCAGACCCAGTGGCCTGAAAAATTCTTGTGGCTAAGGGGTATGGTAGAGGTGTTGGGAGTAGGAGCAGTTACTTCAGAAGCGTGCTGAATCTCGGCAAGTAGCTGCTATGACCAGGCAGACACACTTGAGGCAGAGGAGTACTGGGAGTGCAGTCTGAAAATGAACCCCTTTTTTGAAAATGGTGCACATTTGGCAAGCAACACCAGATGCTTTTATATGCAAACCATGGGATAGCCACCATTACCAGGCCTTTGGTACAAGAACCCAGTTCATAATCCTATAAGCATTCCTGGGGCAGGTTTTAGAAATGGAAGCTTGTGGTTCCCGTATTCATTGGCATTCAGTAAGTACCCCACCTTTCTAATATCATGGTCTCCAATGCCAACCATATTTAACTGAAGACCTGCATTCCCACATCTAATCACACATCACAGTTGCAGAAGTATAGTGGCTTTGGAAGAAGAAAGAAAACCCAAAGAGACCTGAATTGATCACAAGCAAACAGCAAACATAAGTGAAAAACAAAACATTCATTCACAAGGCAACAGGTGTGACACAGATGTGAGTGGATCAGCCATATTCCTACTATCCCTGTGGAGACAGAAACTGATGACATTTCTGGAGAAAAAGAAAATGGAGCTATACCTCTTGCTGTTCAGGAGAGGAGGCCAAATGGTGAGAGTTCTTCTAATAACATCCTGTATAGAAACATGCCTGGGAGAAGCTTTGCCTGTGAGAGGGAGAACATGAGAGTAGAAGAGGGCAGTGGGTCCCTTCCAGTACAGTTCTGGAAGTCTTTCAATGAGAGCATCCATTTGTATGACTTGGCCAGTGGTGAAGGTGTGTCAGAGAACAAGACCCAGCACAATCAGATTTCAGGGATTTCCTGTGAAAGTAGGGGTGTGCTCTAGCAAGGATGAAGCTACAAATAAAAAGCAGCAAAGAGCTACCATGGTGTCAGAGCAGTGTCTTGAAGTTGTAGCAGATGAAGAGATCTTGAAGTCAGGCACTGCTGTGGAGATAAATGTGAACAAAGAAAATAACAGATATGGGGTTGTTCCTCCAAACCTGCCACCCATAGATAAGAGAACAGATAATGGGAATGTTCCTCCAAACCTGCCACCCATAGATAAGAAAGCCAGTGATGAGGTTCAGTTTGCTAAAAGCCAGAATTACCTAAGACCAAATGTGTGCAGGTTGAATGATTTAAACTAGCGCCAGCAAGAGAGATGTCTTTTTCACAGGAAGCTAAGGACCTGAGCCTCCAATCCAGTCCTCAGAAACAACTCAGCAAAGGGGAGAGAAGGCCAGGATCCCCAAAGAGCCACTGTCCCTCACCAACCCAAATGGCCCAGCCATTAACCTGTAGAAATGAAGAGCTACAGGACCAGCAGATGGCATAATGATTGTCACTAGACTCCATATGACTGACAGTGGTTTGAGTCTGGACCTGGAGGTTTAAAACTCACCCTGGACGAGTATGTGTGTACCCAAAATACTGAGAGAAGAATGGAGAAGGAATTGTGGCATGGCCATCCCCCCGGGGTGGTGATTTCTTGCTGTCTGTCTCTCCAGTGACTGCATGAGCCCTATAGCAAAAATCTCTCTTAAAAAAAAAAAAAGAAAAAAAAAGAAAAAAAAAAAAAGAAAGAAATGAGGAGCCAAATATGGATGAGGAGCCCTACAGAGAAAACAACGTGTACATGATTCCCTTTGAAGGTGAGGAGGCTGATATGTCAATGGAACTAAGAGATGAACCTAAGAGGCCTTCTCTGCCTAGCGTAAAACATCCTCCAACCCCTATCCTGATTTCAGGGCCTACTGCTAAAGTTGATTCAGGGATTCAGTGTGATATGAGCTGGATGGAGGAATAAGATACAACAAAATCTGAAGGGCATGATGAAGGTGACAGGAGCCTCAAAGGTGAATGGGGTGAAGAAGTTGAATGGTGGCTTGAAGATGTAAAAAGCAATGAAGAAAATTCCATGAAAGACAAAAGTGAGGAGAGCTAAGAGGGGTACTTTGTCAAATGTCAGAAGGTTAAACAGATGGTGAAATAGGGAACCAGAAACCTTCACCACCTCCCTAAAGGGATACACAAATTACGTGTTACATAAAAAGGCCACATGTATTTATTTTCTGATCTGTATGAGGATGACAAAGTGGAACTGTGATGTGAAGAAGACAATGATGATATATATGGGTTAGAGTATCTTCTTATGGAAACTTCAGATGGCCTTGTGATTATGTGTATGAAGGCCAGGCTTATCTAGAAAGTGGCAAGGTGATAAAGTGGAAGCCTCACAAGAAATCTGTCGTTTGCCAAGTCCTATGCCTGCATATCAGAATGAGGACCAAGCTGGAGGTTATCAAATACAAGAATCTGGAGCCAGAATGGTCCTATTGTCTGTACCCAGAAGAATCATTGGATGGAACAGTACATAAGCCCACCTGTGAAGGAGATAAGTAGCTGAACTGAGTTCTACCTGCAACAGATGCATATGTCCCAATGAGAAAGTTCTTACTGTGTTGGAAAGAACTCCTGTAAAGTAACAAAGAAGATAATATGTGTCATGAGAAGACATTTTGAATTAGATGTAGTAAGACAGTAAATAAATAAAATTGTATGTGTGTGGGAAAAAAAAGAAAAAAGAAAAATTGGCCTGCCTAAAATCCCAAGAGGAGCATGAAGGAGACAGGATTGAACCATGGCCATCACTCCTAGGGGGTCATTCCTCACTTTCCCTCTCTCTCTTTCTCTCCCTATCTCTTTCCAGGCAGTGTACATGCCCAATAGCAAAACCTTAATAAATAAATAAAAAAATAAATAAATAAATAAAAGAGGGGGCAAGTTCCATAGTGCAGTGGTAATGTGCTATATAAGAGAAGCTGGATCCCACAGAGCAACCGCAGTTCGAATTCCCAGCTCAGTTGCCTGACATGTTTGGCACACATATGAGTACCCAAGATCTGAGGGGCTAGAGGACTGAAAGAAGGAGATCATGGACCCTGTAGAGAGTGTGCCTATCTTTCTCTCATTCTGTCATAAGTGCAGGTGTATGTGCTCTCTCATAAATAAACAGATGTTTTTTAAAAGCTAAAAGATAGGAACTGAATGTTTGCAACACAAAGTAGTGGTAAATGCTTAAGATGATGAATATGATAATCATTATGATTTGATCATTACACATTGAATTCATGTACTGAAAAATGACACTACACCACATAAATACGTACAATTATTATATGTAGATTAAAAATAAAGAGGGCTCGGTCCAAGAAAGATGGAGGATGAGTATTGTATCATGACCATGCCCTATAGGGATGATTTTTCTTTTTTATTTGGAGAGGTTTTTGCTATAAGGTGCATGTGCTCACCAGAAAGACCAAGAGAGACAGAAAAGCAAGAAATCACCCCCCATGGGAGATGGCCTTGCCACAATCCCTTCTCCTCCATTCTCCTCTTGGGATCTTGGGCACGCACGCACATGCACCCGGTGTGAGTTTAAGCCACGGGTATGGGACTCAAACCACAGCTGACTAGCCATTATGCCAACTGCTAGTCCCTTTCCCTCCCTCTCTCTCTCCCCTGCAGCAGTACACACCCACTAGCAATATTTTTAAAATAAATAAATAAAACAAAGAGGACTGGCTCTAGTGCAAGGGTCAAGATGTGTGCATAGAGAGCTGGATTCCACATGGCCAGTTGTGGTTTGAATCCTTGCCCCAGCAGCTTAAAAAACACACTGAGGGGACCAGCAGATGGCATAATGGTTACACTGCTGGAGTCCTCCATAGTCAATAGCAGTTCAAGTCCTGGACTGGGTAGCTTAAAACTCATCCTGGGCACATGTGTATGCCTGCCCAAAATTCCAAGAGGAGAATGGAGGAGAAGGGACTCTGGCATGGCCATCTCCCTGTGTGGGTATGTTCTCACTTTCTATCTCTCTGTCTTTCCCTGTCTATGGTGAGCGTACATGCCCTATAGCAAAAATCTCTCTCTAAAAAAAAAAAAGAAAAGAAAAAACACTAAGTATGTGTATGTGTGCCGAGGATCCTTATGGGATTGAGAAATGGAGGTAAAAGGATTGTGACATAATTATATCTCATTAGAGGGTGTTTTCTCTCTATCTTAAAGATTTGTCATATATAATAAAATGTTCAGTCATGCACTTTCAGAGTTCTGGGCAGAGCTCTGTAGGAGTATTGATGTAGATAGTAATGTTATAAACCTGGTGTCCTAGGACTTGTGCAACCTTGAAATGTCAAAGTGTTTTACATAATACAATTTCATGTGATGCAATAATAATTTCCAATTAGTTCCTTTATATATAGCACCAGAGAAATAATTTATTTCTTTATCTTCCTTAGGCCTTATTGAAAAATAAGGCATGGGGAACTCAAGCAGCTTACCTGGAAGAAAATGATCAACCTGATTAAAAGATGGGAAAATAAGCTGAATAAACAACTCTCTAAGGAAGACATATGAACAGCCAAAAAGCATATGAAAAAATGCTCAACACCCCTCACTGTAAGGGAGATGCAGATCAAAACTACAATGAGATACCACCTAACCCCAGTGAGACTGGCAAAGATTAAAAAAACAAATAATGATAAGTACTGGAGGGGATGTGGTGAAAGG